GCATCCCAGCCCAGGTAAATGGTGGCCACCACTGCTCCCGCTATCCCAGAGTGAATGCAAGCACCATGTCAAGCCTTCAGCTGCCTGGCCCCATGGGAGCACACCTGGTCCCAGGTGCTTTGCCAGAAGTCCAGCCTGGCTCCATCCTGCCCTGAGCACATCTGAAGCCTGGTGCCATCTGAGAGCCCTTGTGCTTCTCTCTGAATGAGAACACAAACACCCTAGCAGCTCCTCCCCACCACACACCCTCATGGCTACCTTGGACACAGAAAAGCCCCCGCAGCTCCCACGGGGCCAGGGGAGGCCGTTCCACCGCCGTACATACCGGCACCCAGCAGCCGGAGGCTGAGGATCTTCCCAGTGGTTTCCAGCAGAACAGAGCCAGCGACAGAGGTTGGCTTTGGGCACCACGCTCTTGGGGAATAAAGATCCCGACTTTATAGTCAATTTGTATTGACTCACATTACTTTATTTATCCCTGGATGTTCCTGCCGATATAAATAGCGAGCCCTGTGTTGAGCTCCCTGTGGCCGCTGAGGTCAGGATCGGGAATTCACAGGGATGCAGCATCCGTTCAGATCGTGTCTGCTGACGGAGTTTTACGAGGCACTGCTGGGTCCTGGGGATTTGCAACATCCCAAGAGCGGGGAAGGGCCTTCGGAGCACGGAACGTGCCTCCCGTGCTGTGTTAGGGGTTTTTATTCCTGGCTGTTGCTCCGAGTGGCAGAAGGCAGCTTGGAAGGGTTTTGCTCGCTTCAGAGTAAAACATCTGCTGGGTTCATGGGAGCCCCGTGACCTGCTCTGAGTGCAGAGTGTTCCGGACCATCAGCCCTGGCGCTGCTCACCCAGCAGCACACGCCAGGCTCAGGTCTGAGCTCAGAGCGCTTCACTCCAGGTGCCTGAACAGCCGTGACATCCCCCCCTGGCATCTCCATCCATGTCCAGCCCATCCTCCATGGCAGGAGCCCCCACGGAGCACAGCAGCCGTGTGAACCTGTGCGGCTCCAGCAAGTACCAGAGTCATATTCCAAATTGCTGATTTTTTTTAAAAGCACAGAACCAGGGCGAACACGCGCCGAGGCAGCGGCAGGCGGGAGCCGAGGGGAGTGAACAACAGGCGCTGGGTCAAGTTCACGCCTGACTCCAGTGACTAAAAAAAGAGCCCAGACAAAGAGCAGGAACAGTAATGGCATCAAAACCCCTCCTGTCCTGTGTTTGTGTTCCTGCTCATTAGCCAGGGAGAGGCTGGGCTGGGGCTTCAAAAGAGCTTAAGGGACTCAGACGCCTGAATCCCATTCAACAGCAACAGGAATCCTGTGCTTAATTCCTGCGCTGTCTTTGAAGATCTCGGCGATAATTTGCACCTTCCGAGCAGGTTTAAGCTCAGTGCCACTCACAAAAGGCCGGCGAGCAGGGAAGGGGCTCTGGAAAGTCCTGTTTCCAGGATCGCCATCAGGGAAAACCACGGGCATTTTCTGAACCCCGAAACACCAGCCCTGCCTCAGCAGGGGAGAGGGGGAGTAGCCCAGGGGCTCACTGCCCTTCCTGGAGCAGAATCTGCTCCACAACAATGCTGGACAGTGCTCAGGGGGATGCAGACTCCCATGGGGCTGGTATCAGCCTGGGGAAGCAGCATGGCATGGGGAAAACACCATCTCACACCTGACACACTGTTGGTTTAGCTGTCTAATAGAACATCTCAGGTGGGAGTAGTCCCCCTATCACCCCGACTCCCCCACACCCACAGCATCAGCCACACTCCTCATATCTGTAACACCTTCTCTCTCTTTCTTTCCTCTTCCTTATTTATTTTTCAACTAATGAACTGCTCTCCAGAGCTACTTTATTACTATTGATTCCAGGGGCAAAATTCAATTGATCTTGGTTAAAATGAACCACGTTTTTAATTCTGGTACTGACAGGCGCTGGCTGGGCAGGAATCACTCTGAGCTAAGGGCAGGGAAGGTGTGTTGAACCGGTGTCCAGCAGCCAAAGACCCTGGGAATTAAACCAGAAACTACCTGGTGGGGTTCAAGGAGCAGTGCCATTTAAAGGAGGGACTGCTACAGGGGAAGAGGGGCCCAACAGCCAGTGCCCACCCACCTCCAGGGACTCACCGTGTTGAAGTTGGGGAAGAGGTTGAGCGGTGATGTCCCGTTGAGCCTGAAGGTCAGAAAGTGTTTGATGTCCAAGGGGGGGTGAAGGGGTCGTCCAGGGATGGGCAATGATGCTAAGAGGGGGCTGCTGTGTCCGGAGGGACCTGGGCAGGCAAAGGGAAAGAGCAGCATTAGCACTGGTGGTCACTGTTCATAATGGGGGCATAGGGCACGTGAGACATGGCACGTGGGGACATCTGCTGTGTGCTATGGACCCTGCTCAGTGAAAAGTCGCAGCCCAGGGTGGCCCTGGGCATCCCTTTGCCTATCAGGCTCAAAACCAGCAGCCCAGTTTGAAGCTGAACGCAGCTGCCTCCACATCAGAGCGTGGACACGCACAGGAGCTCACTCTGAACCCTCCAAAAGGTGTCAAAACCTCCTCCAGGGAAGCAACCCCTTCCCTGGGCTCCCCCACACCAGCACCACAGGGGCTCCTCACCAGGGCTGGTGCAGGTTTTGGTTGCAGATGAAGGACCAGGGGCAGAGGCTGAGCTGCCCCCACTCCTGAGCTGCAGCCGCCGCTCCCCGTCACCCGCAAACGAACCACGCGCTCCGGCGTGCGACTTAAAAATAGCCTGGGGTTATTAATAATGTTCTGTCTAAAAAGAAAACACCCGTGGGAAGGAGGGAAGGAGGGAGGGAGGGAAGGCCAAGCAAAGGGATCTGTGTCTCCAGCCTGCTCCCCATCCCAGGTTTCCACTGAGGCTCATCACAGATGATGAGCACAGGAAAGCATCCTCCGAGTGGCAGAAGGGGGTCCCTGCCCAGCTCAGAGAGAGAGGAGCGGGAAAAGCTAAAATTTAAAAAAATGAATTCATCAAACACAATAAATCAGAAATGGTTTCAGAGTGCTGAGCTAGAAGAGCCCATTCCCATCCCAGACGGCTTCATGCCTCCTCCAGCCCACTCAGAGCCCCATCCCTCCACCTGCAGCAATGACAAGGCCAACATCCTTCGTTTTTTTTATTTTTGGGTTCTTCTTCACCTCAAAGGCATCGTGGAGCCCCTGCCACTGCCCCGGTAGAGCAGAGAACACCCCTTGTGGGAGGGTATCCAGGGGATCTGGAGCTCCCACAGCAGGAACACTGACTAAGAGCCCTCACCACAATCCCCTCCTTGTGAGAGGACCAAGCCTGAGCCCTCCTCCAGCCCCCTGCACCCCAACACTGGTTGCACAGGACAAGGACCCCAGGCTGGTGCTGCTCCTTACTCTGCTCTGCGCCCACCCTGCGCCAATCCCAGCTGGTGCAGGAGCCGAGACACAAATCTGAAATTCAAAGTTCGAGAGATCCCCTGGATCTGAGCAGTGAGCGCTCGCCACCGGCCCCACGGGCACCAACGACCTCTTTCTGGGCGAGCGCACGCGGCGGCTCTGCCACGGCGCCGGAGCCATCCCCAGGCTGGGCCTGACTCCAGGGAGGAATTACAGTTTGCTTCATCAGGCGTGCACTGATCGAGTTAATTCCAGAGTCGCCCAGAAGGGAAATCTGTGAAACTGCTTAAAAATAAATAAATAACATTACAGCAGCAGCAGCAGCATTGAGGAGGGAGCAGCAGCGAGCAGGACTGGGTGAGCAGTGCATAATTAACCTTCTGAGGCGTGAAACAGTGTTTCTGCATCAAATCATCTGAGACGGCCGGGCTGGCGCCGTGGGAGCTGCCTCAGGACCCCCCAGCACACGCAGCCCCCATGCCAGAGCAGCGGTGAAGGCATTTGGGGCTGGATCACGAGGGGTGCTGCTCACCACTGTCAGTGCGATTTGCACTGACTGCACTGGCCTTAAAAACATAAAATATATGTACATATAAATATATATCTGGGAAGAACAGGAGGGCAGGAGATTGCCTCCTCCTCCAACATCAGGGGAGCAGCTCCTGCACTGGGCAGGCACAGGGAGGATGCTGAGGGGACACAGCCAGGGACAGCCACCACCTGCGGCAGCTGCTGCCCACAACAGTACAGACAAGATACGCCAACCTCTTTGGCACATCCTTGAGCTCAGATTTGTGGATTAAATGTATTTCTGAGCTGGGATAAACCAGGTGGTTGGAGAGAGCCCAGAAATCCCAGTGAGACCCTCTGACGGGCCAGGACGTTTCCCCCCTGGCTTTACCCCTGAAGCAGACAAGACCCTTGGGAGCTGAAGCCACCCCAGCACCAGCAAAGCTGCCCAGAATGTCACAGCACTCCATTGGGGCACCCACATGATGCTTCAGGGGCACCTTCCCAAGGTTACAGGGCCATGGCACTGCCGGTCCTGCCTTACCTTTGCTGCAGGGCAGATTCCGGCAGCAGCTGAGGGCGGTATTTTTAGGTATTAATTAGACACTCAATTACAGGGATTTGCTTTGGGGAGAGTGGCAGGGCCCCAGGTCTGTATAGAATGACATGACCTTACCCAAGGTGACAAGCAAGGATAGTGGTGGGCTGGGCTGTGCCGGTGAATGGCATCCCCAGACGCTCAGCCTGCAGCTCCGGAGCGGGGTGTCCTCTGCCACAGCACTGGCTCTGTGTCTCCCCCCATTTTGGCAGAGGAGCCACCACGGCTGCAGGAAATGCTACTGCTCCAGCACCACCGGTCCTGCCAGGATGGGATGTGCTCCAGGCCCTGTGGAGCATTTCAGGGGGCTGGTGCAAGGAGGGGAGTGTAGGAACCCCATGGTCCCAGCACAAACACTTGCTGCAGCCTGTGGAGGGGGGTCTCTGTGCCTCCCACAGTTCCACAGGCAGCATCCAGGCCTGACCAAGACATGCCAAAGACCACAACGTCACCGCTATGATGCTGCACATCCTCTGCCCGGGGCTCAGCCGGAGCCATCAGATCCTGCACATCCTCTACCTGGAGCTCAGCCCAGTTCCTGTCCTGCAGACAAGTGACTCTCAGAGGGGCCCCTTGGAATTTAAAGGTGTGTTTCAGCCTTACATTTAACCAAGCCCACCGGACCGTGCATGGGCACAGCCCCCAGCCTGTTCCCCAGCCCTTCACTCCACACAGCCACTCAACACACACCTGCAGCAGGTTTTCCCCTGGTCCCTGCGAGGCAGAGAAGAGCAACTGTTGTGTGCTCTGACACCCCATGTGTGTGAACCTCCCAGAGCTGCCTCTGAAGGCAGCAGGGCCAGCGCTGCAGGTTCTCATACCAACACGAGCCTGCCAAGGACCCATCTCCGCAGACGCTGCTGCCTCAGAGAGCATCTGGCGCAGAGTCTGCCCAGGCCAGATGGAGACGGAGCTGTTTATTCACACGGAGGCAGCCTGGCTCCCTCCCCGCTAGGGAGGTGTTCTCAGCAAATTTTTGGTGGCGTCTCCAAATCCTTACACAGGGCTTTTAAAACTTTGTCTCTGAGCAAGCATGGGATGAACTCACTCCAGCTCTTTCCAGGAGGCTCCCTGGGAGACACGTGTGTGCTCCCCAGTGCCAAAGGGTGAGGGCTGGAGGAGAAACAGTCACAACACTGGACCACAACAGCAGCACCAGTGCAGCCCAGGTACCTCTGGGATCCAGACCAGTAATAAACAGACTGCAACAGACTGGACTCCCAGAGCAACCAGACCAAGGGGCAGCAGGTGGGGCAGCTTTTGGCAATCCCAGCAAAGGACCCAGCCCTCAGGATTCAACTGAGGTGATGCTTCGGGCTGCTGCATTGGGTTTATTGCTGATTAGAATCAGTCAGATCTAAAGGAAACAGCCCTCCAAGTCAACACCAGCAGAGCCCTGTCATGCTGGAACACACCACACAGTATCCCAACCCCGCTCAGCCACCGTGCCAGCACCCCCAGATCCGAGGGCAGAGGGGTCCAAGCCCCCACCCACTATGGGCAATAACAGCTCTGCTCACCTCTGGATAAAGAGAGTAACACTTCAGAGGAGGAACACATAAGCTGAACACCTCTGGATGGTCCCAAAAGCAGGTGTTGAAGGACTTTCTCTTGGGTAGCAGGTTGCTAAGAGCTCAGGGTACAAAGGGAAAGCCAGGATGTGTGGATATTTTGGAAAGATCAGAAATTCACTACTGATTATTTCTGGACCCCGATCATAATTTATTCTGTCCTTGCAAAAAGAAATTCCCTTTATATATCTTTATACTTTAAGCACTAGAAAAATTAAGATAGACCTTTTTAATATATATATTTATATATGTATATTTATATATATACACACATACACATATGTACACAATGACGCATTTAAAGTTGTATTTCCTCGGCCATTACAATATCATTCCCTAAATCTCTTGCTCTTGAAATGATCATGACTCGATGCCACTGCTAAAAATACTCTGTGCTGTGCACAAGGAACACCAACACGACACCGCCAGGCATGTCGGGGTCGACTCAGGGCTAGGAGGATGCTCTGCCTTTTCTGCATTCGCTCTCGAGGCTCCAGAACAACAGATATTATTATTTTTGCAGAGTATTAAGCAGAAGCTGCTGGGTATCTTTGTGCAAAGGCAACATGACATTTGAGCTCAAGGATTTGCCTTCATATCCCTAAAACAAAATAATGACAAACTCTTGGGGAAAAAAATCACTGCAATCTGGGATCTCAGGTGGCCCCGGGATTTTGAACTGTGGGCGATTCGGCCAGACGCTTGGGGGATGAGGGAGATGTGGTCACAGGACCAGCATGGCTTTGTGAAGGATCCTGTTTCCTCTTCCCAGCACGGAGCAGGTCACCATCCACTGTGGCTGCCCAGCCCTGCAGTGACCAGCGATGTGGAAAGGCAGCACTGAGCTGGTGCTGGGCACTGCCTGCAGGCCCCGGCTCCCGCCCGAGGGCTCAGCCCTCACTGGCCACGCTTACTTCACCTGCGTCACGATGAACCCAGACTCCCTCATGCTCTCGTAGTACTCGACGGCCAACGCAAAGTCAAACTCACTGATGGCCGGCCCGTCGATGGCGATCTTCATGAGGTCAGAGAGCCCCTCGCCCTTCATCCGGCGCGACCGGCTGCGCTTCAGCAGCTCCCGGCCCCGGCTGATCTTCTCGGCAAGGACTGAGCCCAAGGGCAGGGCCAGGGCGATGGCCGCCAGGACAGCGAAGTCTGGGAAGAGCTCGTGCATCTCAGAGCTGCTGTAGACCAGCTTGACACAGAGGTCCTTGAAGGAGAGCTGGCTGAGGCTGAAGACGATGCGCTTGAAGAGGGGGAAGTCACTCAGGGCCCTCTCACTCACCACCACCCGCGAGTACGCCTGCAGCAGGAAATTCAGCTCGCTGACCCCGTAGCTGCCAATGTCCTCCAGAGACTGGGGGTAGCACTTGGGGTTGAAAATGGCCGAGAAGGAGCTGATGGCCTCCAGAACACTGGTGGGGAACCTGTCCAGCAGGTTGCCCCGCACACTCTCCAGGTAGGTCTCCTTCAAGTGCTCAAAGTGCTTCAGGTGCACCTGGGAGCAGTTGGCCAGCTCGATACCCTTGTAGTAGAGGCGGCTCTCGCCCTCCCGGCCGTCCTGCGGGTGCTCGTTCATCTCGCTGAGGAACTCCTGGAGGTTCTGGCCGCTGGTGCTCTGCTGGGCCTGCAGCGTGGTGGCCGTGGCCGAGACGATGGGCTTCAGGATGGAAAGGTCAAAGTCCTCGATCTGGAAGAAGCGACTGAGCTTCTGAAAGATGGGGAGGACGTCCAGGAGGATCTTGGTGAAGGCCACAAACTGGAACTTCTTGAGCTCTTCGCAGAGTCCACGGGCCACAGGCGAGTGCTCCGCCTCGCTCTCCAGCAGCAGCACCAGCGTGGGCCATGAGGAGTCGATGGCTTCCACAGCTGGGAAGACAGAAGTCCAGCGGATGGCTTTGGGGCTCCCGAGGTCTATCTCACAAAGGTCCAGGACTCTCCGCAGCTCCTGCAGGCCATCGCTCTCCCCCCGGCAGCTGGAGTAGAGCCTGTACACGGCATCCACAGTGGTCTCGTACTTCCGGAGGTACTCGGTGGTGCCGATGGTCTCAGCCGGCAGCAGGGAGCTGCCGTGGGACAGGCAGTGCATCTCGGTGAGGAGCGGGCACAGCGAGGTTAGCGCGGTCCCCACCCCGCTCAGCCGCTCGGCCACCAGCGAGGCGCTGTCGGCACTGAGCCAGGTGAGCTTCATGGTGGGGATGCCGAAGGAGCGCATCACCTCGCCCACCTTGCCCGCCACGGTGGAGGCCTCCCCGGCGGGCAGCTCGAAGCTGCCCAGGAAGGCGGTGGAGGTCTGCCCGTTGCAGGGGGAGACAGTCGTGGTGAACATGGCGAGGCTGCGGTGCTCCAGGACATCCACCGTCTCGTCCACCACCAGCCCCACAAACGGCGAGGCTTTGATCCTGTGCCTGTCCTCGTTGTGCAGGACTTTGGCGATGGCTGCCTGAGCCAGTCGAAGGAGGGGCACAGGGAGGGAGAGAGAAACACAAATGAGGTTCAGATGCAGCAGGAGACGCGCAGCCCCCAGCACACAGCAAGCGGCCGGGCTCTCACCCATGGGCTCCTGCAGCAGCACGAGGGCCCAAGCCAGGGAAAAGCCCTTGCACACACAGGCTGGAAATCACTTTCCTTTTCCCTATACTAAACTGCCTCCTCCCACCCCTGTCCGGCAGCCCGAGCACAAGGCTGAGAGCTTGGGGGCCCCTGCCCTGAGCTGGGGGTCAGAGCCCCACAGCTACAGCAGGACCCAACAGCACCAGAAGCATCAAGACATCAGCCCCCAATACCCCATTCCCAAGCTGCTGCCTGTGCTGGCCACAAGGCAGGACACCAGGAACCTGCCTGCTCAGTTCACCTCCAGCAGTTCCATCAGTGCTTCACTGGCCCAGCACGGGCAGGAGCAGCAGCAAAACTCTGCAGCGTCTTTTCCTTCTTTACTCATTTTCCCCCACTTCAGGCACACGCCCCAGTTTGGAGGGGAAACTTCCTCTGTGTGTGTGTGTGTGTGTGTGTGTGTGTGTGTGTGTGTGTGAGTGCTGTGAGGATCACCACAGGCTGGGAAACCTAATTAGTGGGTTTAGTCTATCTGCAGCAAAATAAGGTTCTGCAGAGAGCCGAAGAGCCTGGCAAATGGCCAAGACTCACTAAAAATTTAATTTGATTTTAGCAGGCACGAGCCAAGCGTTTGTAAAACTCAGAAAAATCCTTTCTGAACCCTCTGCCTCCTTCATCCTTCTGAGCACCCAGTTTAGGGCAGAAGAGGAAAACCCCCAATGTGCTAACTGAACTCCTGAGCTTTCCATCCAGCAAGGAGCACGGCAGGCTCAGGGAGCTCCTGTGGGCACAGACACCCCGCTGGCTCTGCTGAAGGCTGAGCACCGTCCAGCCCTGGCAGGCGCAGACCCCCAGCCCCGCACACCCACCTGCATCTCCCTGACGCTGCCGGGGTGGTAGTACTCGCTGTGCTCCGAGGCCAGCAGCGCCTGGCACAGGTTGAACTTCTGGAAGCTGAGCAGGGAGGAGCACTTCTCATCCGGGATCTCCTCCTTGGCCATCCAGTAGACGGTGGTGAGGACGGCCACCTTCGCCGGGTTCACCTCCACCTTGATGACCGAGCGCAGTTCGGGGTGGCCGCGGACGCGGGTCTCGAAGGCCAGCTGCTCGCGGTTCACGGCCAGCGCCTGGCGGTGCGCGCCGGAGGTGACGTGCCGCAGCAGCGCGTGGCGCTGGAAGTTGTCCGTGCCCACGGTAAAGGCGTTCTCCGCCTTACCGTGCTTGTTCTTCACCAGTGCCTGCCGACACTCTACGCAAAACATGAGTTTCCTCTCATAGTCAAACTCCAGCCAGGTAAACTCTTCCTTCCAGTGCTCATTGAAATAGCGTTTACACTTTTTATTGGAATTGGAAGTTTCCCCAGCCGGCTTTTTCCCCGGAGGCACCATGCTGCTGTGGCTGGGAAATCAAACACTACGGTTGAACCGCACCGTGCCTTGAGGAGCAGCCTGCACATTTAACTTAGTAAGAAGGTCTATTACCACTCTCCTGGTCCGACTGGAGATGAAAGAGACACAAGGGAAAGGGATTAGGGCCCTGCAAACCTCAGCCAGGGCTCAGCGAAGGGCTGCGGTGGCATGGCGATGGTGGCGTGGTGACAGCGGTGGTGACAGTGGTGCTCAGGGCAGGCCAGGCTGTGCGACAGCCCCAGCACCATGCAGGGGCATCCCATCGAGTGCCGGCATCACCGTCAGCTCTCGGTGTCACTGGTGGGACTGGTGCACGCACACACAGTGCCATCACCACAGGGACACCCATACACTCCCCTCCGGAGCAGCCCTTCCCACTGTGATGATGCTGGGAAGGTGAGGAAGGCTCAGAGCTGGATGAAACATCCAAAAGGAGCATTCAGCCCCAGAGGAGCAGCACCTGCCGGCAGTGGCGAGTGCCAGGGCTCTGGAGTTGCCTGAGGGTGACTGGGAGACAGCTCAGACACAAGTGCCTGTGCACACATATCTGTGCTCCCAGCCCTGCCTGGCTTGTCTCTATCCCAGGGAACTGCTGAAGCCATGGCAGGTCCCATGGCAGCAGGGCTGTGCTCTGCACAGTCAGTGCCAGCCCAGCATCCCTCCCAGGGGGTGACACGCTCAACCTGCTCCAGCCCAGGCTCCTGAATACCTACTGAGCTACAGGCTGCAAAGCACTTACACACATAACCAAAACAGGAGCTGCAGGGTTTAAGCATCCACTTGACCCCTTACCTACATTTCAGCCCCACTCAGTCCAATCCTCACATTCCTCCATGAACTGGACTGAAAATCCAAACTGAGCCTTGATAAAGGTGGTGGGAAGAGGAAGAACCTAGCACATGGTGAGGAAGGGGTAGAACCAAAATGCAGAGGAAAATGGAAAGAACATGGACACTCAGCAGCAGCGAAGCCGGGAAATACCATCAGTCCATGTGACTTGCTGAGAAACCCAAGGGGAACTTGGGGTTTTTCTGAAGAACAAATATCCCAAACCGAAGCCATTACCACAGCCCCTAGGGAGCAGGGGGAACACAATTTAGGCATTAGAGCAGCACCCCAACTCCCAGTCCTGTGAGTGTTCACTCCCACGGATCCTGGGCTTCCCATGGGGTGCCCTGGGTGATGCTGGCAGGTGGTCCTGGAGTGCCCAGCACCGCAGCTGCCTGGCACAGCAGCCCCATCCCAGTGCCAGAGGGGCACCGAGCTCCTCCAGCTGCAATGGGACAGTGCTCGGCCCCAGCAGGTGGATTCCTATGCTCTCTCCCTGTCATTGACCCCATTCACTCCCACCCCATCCAGCACAGCCCTCCACCACAGCACTCACTCCAGTAAAAAACGCTGCATTGAAAAGAAAAAGTAGCAATTAGTGTGTGGGGTGCATGGGGTCAGGGGGAGCTCGGGATGCAGCAGAGCACCGCAGCACCCCCTTCCCGCACGACCCGCGGTGCTCCAGAGCCAGTCCCGGCACCACCAGCCCAGCACCCCTCACTGCTGCTGCCCACGGGGAAGAGCATCACTGCGCGTCCTGGGCGACTCGGCAGCAGCTCCAGATGGGGGTGACACTCCAGGACTGACTTGTGAGAGGACAAGCTGCTGCCCCCCGAGCCTCGTCCCCGGCGCATCACCCCGTGCGGGTGAGCGGAGCAGCCCCAGCGCCCAGCCCAGCCCGGCGCGCCCACCCCGCTCACCCACCCCTAAACATACGTACCATGGAAAGGCCGCCATAAGCTTTGGGGTGTTGGGGGAAAGGGGGGGGCGGGTTGCAAACTTCCCAGATTTGGGGTTCTTTTAAATGGGGGATAAAAATAAAAAAATATATTAAAAAAAAAAAAAAATAAACAAACAAACAAACCCAGCCAAGCAACGCCAATCCAAAAAAAATAAATAAATAAAACAAAACGAAGCGAGGTGCTGGGGAGTCACAATCAGCAGCAGCAGCATCAGCAGCAGCACCGCCCGGCCCGCAGCCCCCGCGGGGCCGAGCTGCGGGAACAAAGCCCGCGGCGGGCGCCGGCTCACGGGAGCAGGGGCGCAGCCATCTTGCTGCGAGGGCCGCCGGGCTCGCCGCTGCTCCCGCCAGCCCACGGCGGCAGTGGCCACTAGCGGCGGCCAGCACCGGGCAGGCCGCGGGGGACAGCGGAGGCAGCAGCCGGGACACGGGATCTTCGCCCCCTCTGGGGATGGAGGGTGGAGAAGGGGCGGGGGGAAGCACACGGGGCTGCTGCGCCCGCTGCCCGCCGCGGAGAGATGGGTGCTGAGCGCCCGGGAACACCCAGCATCTCCCAGTCCCAAGGGATGCTCACACCGGGTCCCTCGGCTAGGGGCTGGGCACACGGGATGAGCTGCAGGAGCGTTTGCGCCCAGCCAGGATGGGTGTCCCCCCGGGTTTGGGCAGAGCCGGGATGCGAGTGACCCGCACATCCCCCCCAGCCACGGAGATTCGGCAGGATGCAGGTCCAAAGCCCACAGCGTGTTCCTGGTTACCCGTGCTCCTGGTCCATAGCTGCAGGGCTGAGCCTGAAACGCACCACCTCATCCCGGGGCTCCCCAATGAGCACAGGGGCTCCACTCATCCCCCAAAAATCTTTCTTTTAGAACTAAATGCAGGTGAGATTTAGAGCCCCTCACCTTCTTCCAGAAACAGGGTTTTGTGCCACCTTTGCTTTCCCCCAAACGATGCTCCTGAGGACACTGAAATCCCAAAGGACACCAGTGTCCTGCAGGACCCCTGACAGGAACTCCACTCCTCATTCCCCAACACAGACCCTGTGCCTGGGAGCTGAAGGATGCTCCCACCCCGACTCCCCCTGCAGAGTCAGGCTATGAGGAGGGATGTGGCCCACTGGAATGTGCCTGGATTAGGGGCTGCATTGTACCTGGCTCCGGCTGGCTCCACACCAGGGGGGTCTGGCAGCCCCCGGTGAATTCCTCTCTTCAGGCTCCTCCACATATCCCCGGGCAAGAGGCTCTTCCTGCTCTGGGGACATTCCTGCCTGGCCACCTTAGCCCAGGGTTAATGAGAGCAGGAGCTGGTGAAACCAAAGCTGGCTCTCAGGGTGAAAATATGCCAAATTTATTCTTGTGCTAATGCCTCGAGAAAAGAGGATTGAGCCTTTTTAATGAGTTTTTAGGCAGGAGCCTGCTGTGTCTCCCCTGGTTCCCAGCATTCAGAGTGGGACTGCAAAGGTCAGCAGTCCTAAGTGAACAGTGGCTGGGGCCAACCCCACTTCCCATGGGGACCCCATCAAGCCCCTGTACTGGGATCCACTAGCAGGACTGGTGGATTTCAGCTGGAAACACCCTCTGCCTGCATGGCTGAACTCACTGATCCCTTCTGCCCCGCGTGCCCACTTCTGCTGGAAGCCTCCAGCTTTAACATGGGTTTTGGGCAGTGTTTACGGGATGTCCCTGACCCTGCGGAGCACCCTGCCCTCGCATCCCTGCCAGATATCAGATGTCCTTCCTAAAGGAACTGAAGTGCAGATACTCCTGTTTACCCCCATGCAGCAGCAGCCGCCTTGGCTTGAGCCAATCATTGCTATTTTTCCCTGCTGTGCCGTGCCTGGGAGCCGGGCAGGCAGGTGCCCCGTTGCACCAGCACATCCATCATCTGCACAGCACGAGGGTGGCCACGGCCATGAGCCACAGTTTCCATCTGAGCCCCGGTTTCCACTGGAGTCCCACGCTGGCTGGAGCAGACCCCAAGCATGTGGCTCCCACTGGGATGCTCCAGGCCAGTCCCTGACACCCCTACCATCACTCCAGCCCCACATCCACGGCTGGGTTCTCCAAGGGTTCCTCACTGCATCTGTAAGGAGCTGAACAAGAAAAGACCAAATCCTGCCATACTACCCCAAAAGATTTTAAATCCCTGAGTCCAAAGATATTTATGAGATTTTGTTTCCATTCCTGCTCTAAGCCAGTCAGGCTCTGGGGAATGACGCACACTCTTCCTGCAGGGAAGCAGAGGTGCTGGTGTTCCCAAAGCTGCTGACCCCAGGGAGCCCCATCTCTGCACAGCCCCCGGTCCTCCTGTCCACCCACCCCGTGGTACCCAGCTCCACCAGCCCCCATCCCCGGCCATCACAGAGGATGGGGCAGCACCCTGCAGGTCCCTGCTCCCCCTGTGCACCCAAAACCCTGGCTGTGACAGCCCCCAAAACGAACTGGGAGGATGCACAGGAGGGAGGACTCACAGGAGCTGCCCGGCCGCATCCCTCACAGCCGAAGGTGGTGACAGCTCAGTTCAATCTCTGCCGCGTGTGGCGGAGGGGGGAGGCAGAGAGGAGCCGCTGTCTCGTGTGGGAGAGAGCACCCGGCACCGTGTCAGCTCAGCCAAATTAAAAATACTCCTGCAGCCCCCGGGCTGGTGCCTGGACGGGCGGATCTGGCAAGGACAGCTCCTGCGGGATCTGCAGAGACCAGAGGGAGACGGGAAAGGGAAGGTGCTCCCACACAGGGAAGGGGATGCTGGAGGACCCCAGTATTTCCCTGCTGTGTCCCAGCTCTCCCACACAGCTCAGGGTGCTCAGGGAGGCTGTTCCTCCTCTGCCAGGGGGGCCCTTCTAACACTGCTGTGGGCACAGAGAGTCTGGTTCCAGCATGCTCAGGTCCTTATGGAGGAGCCTGGGTGGGTAGTGGGCCATGGAGAGGGAACCAGTGGGTGCTGCTGGAAAAGAAGTTCCCTGAGCTGCTGAAATGGGAACCCCCACATCTCCCAGCCACTGTCAGCTTACAGGATGCTGCCTCGTGCCTCCTTCCCCTGCACAGCCTTGTCACAACCTTCAGCTGCGTGACTGCAGCTGGCAGGGAACAAGCCTTGAAATAAACTCGAATGACATCCCTGCAAACTCTGGACATGGCCACAACAGGATTACTGGGCTGGGGAGGGGGGGCCATGCTCATCTCTCCCCGCTGGCGACCCCAGCTCTGGGCTGAGGCTCCTCTGAGCAGCAGCTGAGAAGGGCAAAGCCCTTTTGTCGAGGAGCAGAGGCAGGGACAGGGTGATCTCTCTCTCTGGGCTCCCTC